TTGTGTTTTTCGAGAACAGCATAGAGTAAATTGAAACTGAGAAATTTTGTTCGTTATGTATTGTACAGTAACTCTGTTATAAACTGTAACAGTTGGGAAGCACTTTGTTGCTTTATTACATCATTCCTAAATCGGTGGAATGAAGGTAATCTTGGATAATTTTGTTTTAAATCGATTTACATGATGTACTCGTTGTACCAAAAGTTCTCTTTTTAATATTTTTTTAAATTTATTGACTCTCTGAATATTTGCAAAGTAATGAAAATCAGATCAAGAGGATCTTCGTGTACTGTTTGTATGTGACCTGAGTAATTTCCTTTTCAACTAAAAAAAAGTGCCAGTGTTTAAAAAACTGCTATACAAGGTTGAATGTGTTCGACAAAGTTGATATAAATCTATAATCGTGCGATTGTACCGAGCCGCCATATTTGTTTTGCTAGTCGACATTTTCAAAGCTCGCGCCACATTTGCGTCCAGATCTCGCGCGGTCAAAAAATCCGATTCGTCACCGGCGATGAGGGACCAACAACCTGTAGTACAGCTATGTCAACCACATGGATACTGAGAAGAAAGTTAATTAATTAATTAATCAATTAATAAAACAAAGGAGAACGAAAAAGAAAAATGAAAGATGGTGTACTAAATTAAAGGAATTAAAGAAAGGTGAGGTAGGTTATGAAGTCGGGTTGCTAAATTTAATGGGGTAAAGATAAACTCTAAAACCTTTTGTACAACTTAGTCTATATATGTAGGTTAACTATGTCTTGAATGTATTAAATATACTTTTAATGGGTTAGTATTAGTTGTTGAAACATTTTCGTTCCTAGTTTGTAAATTAAGAGAAACTGGTTTGAAAAGGGGTGATAGTGTGGACCAAAAAAGTTTTTTTAATTAACGTAATAATTTTTGTTCTTTTGGCCACTAGTGTCCAAAATCACAAATCGGTCTCTAGTATCCAGAATTATAAATCGGCTTCTGGAGTCAAAAATAACAAATCGGCCACAAAGGTTCAAAATCACATATCAGCCACTAATGTCCAAAATCTCAAATCAGCCCCAAGTGTCCCAATTTGCAAATCGGCCACAAGGGTCCGAATCACAAATCGGCCACTAGTGTCTAAAATCACAAATCGGCCACTAATGTCCCGCCGGCTAGAGTCCAAAATCACAAATCGGCCACTTTTAGGGTCTTCTAGGGTCTAAAATCACAAATCGGCCACTATAGTGACCGAAATCAGAAATCGCCCACAAGGGTCTAAGTAGAATAATAGGCCACTAAAGTCCAAAATCACAAATGGGCCACTTGTGTCCTGAATCAAAAATCGGCAGCTAGAGTCCAAAATCACAAATCGGCCACTAGTGTCAAAAATCCCAAATCAGCCCTAAGTGTTCCAATTTGCAAATCGGCCAGAAGGGTCCAAATCACAAATCGGCCACTAGTGTTCAAAATCACAAATCGGCAATTTTAGGGTCTAAAATCACAAATCGGCCACTAGTGTCAAAAATCCCAAATCGGAAATTTTAGGGTCTAAAATCACAAACCAGCCACTTTTAGGGTCTTCTAGGGTTTAAATCACAAATCGGCTACTATAGTGACCAAAATCAGAAATCGCCCACAAGGGTCTAAGTTGAATAAATAGGCCACTAGAGTCCAAAGTCACAAATGGGCCACTTGTGTCCTGAATCACAAATCGGCAACTTCAGTCCAAAATCACAAATCAGCCACTTGTGTCAAAACTTACAAATCAGCCATTAAGGTCCAATAAATGAAATATCAGCCACCAGTGTCCAAAATCACTAAACGGCGTCAAGGGTCCAGAATAATTAACAAATCGGCCCCAAGTGTCCCAAATTGCAAACCGGCCCCTGGTGGCCAAAATCAAAAATCGGCCACTTTCAGGGTCCAAATCGGCCACTATGACCAAAATCAAAAATCGGCTACTGGTGTCCAAAATCACAAATCGGCCACGAGGGTCCAAATTGAGAAATCGGCCATTAGTGTCCAAAATCACAAATCGGCCACTAGTGTCCGAAATTACACATGGCCACTAGGGTCCAAATTGAAAAATCGTTCACTAGGGTCCAAAATCACAAATCGGCCACTAGGGTTTATATTGAAAAATCGGCCACTAGGGCACAAAATCACAATTCTGCCACCAGGGTCCAAAATAAAAAAACGGCGTCAAGGGTCCAAAATCACAAACCGGCCGTTTGTGTTCAAAATCACAAATGGGCCACTAGGGTCCAAAATCATAAATCGGCCACAAGTGTCCAAAGTCACAAATTAGCCAATAGTGTCCCAAATAAAAAATCGGCATTTAGCGTCTTAAATCACAAATAGGCTACTAAAAGTCGATTAGTACACGTTGTGAATGAGTTCCCTTAGCCCTTTTCTCCTTTGATTGTTAACTGAAGAAGAAGCATGTTTGCCGTTCTTTGCGACAGTAAACAAAAGGTTGAAGTCTCATTCAGTTCTACGATTTCTTAAATTTAGGCTTTGGTAATAGACTGAGTACAAAACGAGTGTGGGTTCGTAATGACTGGCAACCGATTTTAATGAATTATGATTTTTTTATCGCTTTTTAATATTCCGCGTTTGCACAAAAAGTGCGCCATGGTTTTCTGGATTTCGAAAGATAATGGGTTGAGCATTTTTAGCAAAGAAGTAGTCTAATAAGGTGTAAAGTGAAGTGTATTTATATCCCTTGGAACAGAAACACGATAGAGGTCAGGTTATCGTTATTTCTTTGAGTTATAGCTTTGATTGTGCCCTTCCCTGGTGTAAGTCAACTTTCATATTTCGACTTGCAAAAGAAATACCCGGGTTTTTTAAATTGCATTTATTACGTGGTGTCGAGGTAACACGCCTTGGAGGCGAGATTGATTACACCTTGGTGGTGAGTCTTTCTGGTGGCGAGGTGACTGAGTACCTACTGCTGTGATGGACTGCTTCTGTTTTGTGCCACTAAATCGCTTATGAGAGTTTCTACTTCCATTAAGCTTAAGGTTTCACAGTATAGCTACTATCGTAGTATACGTGTAAGTAAAGTGGAAACCTTGGCATGTTCTTAAATAGATATGCCTTGGAAAGAAACGACCTCGTAATAATGAAAGCCGTTTCGTTCTTGGATACTGGCCATCTCACTTTTGGACCCGCTTACTTCACATTCCTTTTGCTGGTTGTTAAAATTAATCGACTGGCACTGATTGGTTTCCAAGCACAACT